ATTCTTCAGGATATAAACAACGTAAGGAATTCTCTTGACCAAGTTAACCTAAACACGCATAAATAGATACCTGTGATATTAAATTTAAAATATTTTTAATTATATTTTAATTATATCTTTAATATTACTAATATTTAATTAATAGTAGTATCTTTAATTAATATTATTAATATGTTTGATTGATATTATTAATTATATCTTTTCAAGTAGATATATAGCTTTTTATAATAATAGACTGAACCATAAAATAAGATATAGTGAATTACAGATAATTGAAATGAAGCAAAATTTGCTATCTGACCACAAAAGAAATTGAATTAGATATTGATCCCTATTGGAAATTCTGAACACATTTTTATAATTTTTGTTCATATTAGTGCATTACAGTTGTACATAACAATGGAATACATTGTTACATATTTGTAACAATGTACATGTACAGAATATAACAATATAATTTAACCAGTATCATTTTCCCAGTATTTCCCCTTTCCCTCCCCTATTCCCTTCATCTAGTCCCTTTGGTCTATCTGCATTGATTTCTCTTTGATTTTCATGAGATAACCCTGAACTTTCTTTGTCTCTTTCATCTCTAACTTTCACATATGAGAGAAATCATATGATCCTTGACTTTTTGATTTTGACTTATTTTGCTTAACTTAATGTCCTCATGTTCTATTCCTTTTCCTGAAAATGACATGGTTTCCTTCTTATGGCTGAATAAAATGCCATTGTGTATGCATACCACACTTTATTTAGCCATTCATCGATTCATCCACCTAGGTGGATTCCATGGTTTTTCTGTTGTGAATTGTGCTGCTATGAACATGGGTATGCATATATCGCTATAGAATGATGACTTTAATTATTTAGGATCAATGCCGAGGAGTGGTATTAACAGTGGTATAGCTGGGTAATATGGTAATTCCATTCCTAGTTTTTTGAGGAAATTCCATACTGATTTTGATAATGGTTGACTAATTTACAATTCCACCAACAGTGTAAAAGTGTTCCTTTTTTCTCCACATCCTCTCCAGCATTCATCATTGTTTGTATCATTAATGGCTGCCATTCTAAAGTGAATCAGATGAAATCTCAGTATAGTTTTGATTTATATTTCCCTATTTGATAATAATATTTGTTTTAGTCAGCCTTTTCACGGCTGTGAACAAAATTCTAAATAAGAACAAACAGAAGAGGAAAAGTTTATTTGAGGGCTCACAGTTTTAGAGGCTTAGTTCATAGATGGCTAACTCCACCCCTCAGGGCTGGAGGTGAGGCAGAACATTGTGGCAGAGAAAAGCCAAGGAGACATGACACCAAGAATCAGAGAGAAAGCTCCACTCATCAGGTATAAAATCTATACCGCAAGGCATGCCCCCAGTGATCTACATTCTCCACCCATCCCTCCCCGCCTACAGGTACAACCCAATTAATCTTTATCATAGGACTAATGCACTCATTAGGTTTAGGTGATTATAATAAAATCATTTATTTCCCCTCTAAATTTTCTTGTATTGTCTTACACATGAGTTTTGGGAGCACATCTCCCATATAAACCATACCACTGTTGAACATTTGTTCATGTAATTGTTGGCCATTTGTATTTCTTCTTTTGAGATGTATTTAGTTCATTTGCCCATCTTTTATGTGTGTGCATGTACGTTTGTGTGCATGTGTGTGTTTTGAGTTCTTTATATATTCTGGATATTAATTCTCTGTCAGAATGATATCTAGCAAAGATTTTCTCCCATTCTCTAGGTTCTCTTTTCACATTCTTAATGGTTTCCCATGCTGTGTAGAAGCTTTTTAATTTTATGCCATCTCACTTAATTAACTGTTGGCGTTATTTCTTGAGCTTTAGGTGTCCTATTGAGAAAGTCATTGCCTGTGTCTGTATACTAGAATGTTGCCCCTACATTTTCTTCTAGGAGTTGCATAGTTTCTTGTCTAATTCTTAGGTCTTTGATTCACTTTGAGTTGACTCTGTGCAGGGTGAGAGATAAGGGTCTAGTCTCATTCTTCTGCATAGGGATTACCTGTTTCCTCCATTTGTTGAGAAGATTGTCTTTTCTACGCTATACGTTTTTGGCATCTTTCTCAAGGATCAGATAATTGTATCTTTGTGGGTTTGTCTTTCTGTCTTCTATTCTGAGATAATTTTTTAAAATAACTTATGGCTTAAAAAAGAAATGACCAAAGACATTTTAATGTATTTTTGACCTGAATGAAAGTATGAACACAACATACATACATACATATGTGTGTGTGTGTGTGTGTGTGTGTGTATGTATAAAGATGCTGCTAAAGCAGTCTTTGAATAAAAATGTAAAACCATGGATGGTCATTTTGGAAACCCATAATCTAAACTTCCTTCTTAAGATGCTAAGAAAAAAAAGAGCAAAGAAACACAACATAAATGAAAGGAAATTATAAAGGTCAGAAATCAATGAAGTAGAAGACAAATAATACTATATATCAACAAAACAATATGATACTTCAAAAGCACTAATAAAGTCTAAAAACCCTGAGACTGACTCCAGAAGAAAAAAAAATAATGTATGATCAAATGAAATGAAAAAGGGAACATCACTATGGATTATACAAACACTAAAATTTACAAAGTAATGTTATGAACAACTGTGTGCCTAGAAACTGACATTTAGATGAATTTTAAGAGACTCTTTGAAAGATAAAACCTACCAAAGATGACATAAAACACCTTGGAAAATATAAATAACAGTCTTTTAAATTTTTTAAATTCAAAATTAAATACTTCCCTCAAGAAAACTTTAAGCCCCAAATGGTTCCATAGATTAACTCTATGAGACATTTAATGTGAAGTCTTTTAGGGACCAGAATAAAGCCATCAAAATGTTGATGACTAAAATTGATACAGCAAAGTGTAAGAAAACTACAGACCAGACCCATTCATGAACATAGATATAAAAATTATACATAAAATAACTAGTAAATGCAATATGGCACATAAATATAAGAAATATAAACATTATAAACAAGATGGATTTATCCCAGGAATGCTAATTTAACATTTAAAGATCAATCAATGTAAAATGATTGATAAATATAATTTAAAGGAAAAATATGATCATCTCAATACATGTAAAAAAATTGGACAAAATTGAACACGTATATATGACAAAAAATCTTCCACAAACTAGGAACAAGAAGGACATTCCTCAATTGAATAAATCGTATTCATGAAAAAACAATAAATAGCATCATACTTTGTTGTAACATATTAAATATTTTCCCCCCTAAAATCATAAATAAAGGAAGGATATCAACTGTCATCATTATTCAGCTTTTTACTTCATAACCTAGTAAGGGCAAAAGCAAGGTAAAAAAAATAATATACCTAAACATAAGTGCTATTATGGTATATATAGAAAAACTAAAGGAATCTATTATAAAGCTGCAAAATAAAAAGTGAATTCAGTAAGATTGAAGAAAACATGTCAGTATGTAAAAATCAGTCTTATTTCTATAAAATGATAGTAAACAATTAGGAAATAAACTGTAATCCCAGCTATTCATGATATTGAGATGGGAGGATCACATTTGCAAGGCCACTCTGGAAACTTAGTGGGACCCTGACTTAAAATGAAATTTTAAAAACCGCTTGAGATATCTCAGTGATCTCATGCTTGCCTACAATTTGTGAGAGCCTGGATTCAATCCCAGCATGACAAAACAAAACCAAGATAATACATAGAGGATAGTCTTCTAAATGATATGGTCCCATTCCCCCAGAGAATAAGAAGAAAAAGAAAGCATAACGATGAAAACTGTATTAAAAACAATCATGTAGTTTCTGGAAATATTTTAGTTTATACAGCAAATGAAGAAACATATTAAAAAAAGTCTACTGAAACTTGGTAAAAACAAGAATTTGGGACATGATAATAGAAGACTTTAAAAATCCCATGTATAAGACTGCCATACTGAAATCTACAAAATATTGCAGAAGAAAATATTTTCAAAATCATTCATATGGGAGAGAATACCATATTTATGGGTTGAAAGACTCAATTTTGAAAAAAATACATATGTGTGTGTATGTGTGTTTTTAAGATAAAACAGATAGATGATAGATACATATAAAACATGAGGGTTAAGTTACATTATCACAAGAGACCTTTTCATCTCCAAATTCTATTTGTTTTTGCAACTACAGCAAATGTATCAGTATAAATTGAATAAAGAGGATATAGGAAGGAATATGAACAAAGACAATTTTAATTATTCGAAGTAGTTCTCAAATGTTCAAATGTTTCTGATTAAGGGGACTTCTATTCAATCAGAAACTCTGTGTACTTATTTACAAATAAAAAAGAATATTAGACTTTCCAAAAAGAATAAGAAAACTATGATGAAGGATATTTTAAATGCCATAGGAATATGTATTTATAGAATTTAAAAACATGTATTAAACTTTTGTACTCATCCTTGTATTTTTCAGAAAAGTCATAAAATAGAAAGTAAGAAATACTGGAAATATGAATGTAGTACTTGTTATAGAAATGACATTGATGTAATTGAACAAATCAGTATGTAATATATATAGCACTACATTTTTATAAATAAATACAAAATTTTAAATCTGTAACATTTCTTTAAATATTTTTTAAAGGCCAATAACCTGTTCTCCTGAAATAAAGGATCTTATTATGACTTTTAAAACCCTGTTTCTCATTTTTATTCTCTGATGAAATTGGATCATTTATTAAAGTATAAAAATAATAAAATTTGCATCTTTCCACCATCCATGTTTAATTTTCCTTTGTTGATCAGCTACAGCTCCTGTTTTTCCTGTATCACTTATTTAAATAAATTTTCACAATACTTTTGTAATGTGGTTTTTCACAGGAAAGGGGACCTTTTTAGACTTAACTATACTAAGGAATAAGGATTACCTATACAGTACTATCAAAATTAATATATATATATATATATGTATCTTTTCCTTGTATTTTCAGGTTTAACTGAATTGAATGATAGTCCAGTTCCACCGGAACTTGAGCGTTGCAAGTCTCCCACTTCAGGTAAACAAGAGTGGTATTTTTCAAGTTTGTGTTAATTCACTGCAGTAATCTGTTGCTGTATTTTGAAAATTGTTGTAGTTTAAAATTTTTAATTCATGGTTTTAGTAGTTATAATTCAGTTTCTAAAATGTAACCATCAGCAAATTTGATTCTTAATATCAAATTAAAATAAATGTCTTCAAAAATATGCTTGGCCCCAAATAGAATTAAGATCAGACTTATGAATGTAATAATTTTAAAGACATTTTAATGGAAAGTTAGTATGCAGATATATTAATAATACTTAATAAGTGTCAAATAAAATGGATAATGTACAGTAACATTGTAGTTTTTGTCTAGAGTTGATTTAATAAGAAATATACATAATAGGTGCAGAAGCAAATGATACCATTCCTCAGAACTATCATTTTTAACATGTATATCTAATTACAAAAATAATACAATATGGTATTGAATAAAACATCAAGTAAAGTGAACACCCATTAAAAATATATTTTAAAATATGAGGATAAAGATTCTTGGGAATATATACATACGTGTGTGTGTGTGTGTGTGTGTGTGTTCTGATTACTTGATCTGTACCTGTCAAGGATAAAGAATAGGTAATTTGGTCTATTTTGTTCTCAACACATCCCCCTTGCCCTTCCCTTCTCCCTCCATGTCCATTCCCTTCCTCTACTTTATTGGTCTCTCTTCTGTTTTCATGACATTCCTTTTTTCTCTCAACTTTTGTATATGAGAGAAAACATTCAAAACTTGACTTTTTGGCTTATTTCATTTAGCATGATGTTCTCCAGTTCCATCCATTTACCAGCAAGTGACAAAATTTCACTCTTCTTTATGACTGTTTAAAACTCCACTGTGTGTGTGTGTGTGTGTGTGTGCGTGTGCGTGTATATATATATATATATATATATATATATATATATATATATATGGATGGCACATTTTCTATACCCATTCTTCTGTTGACAGGCATCTGGGCTGGTTTTCTAATTCCTATTGTGAGTTGCACTGATATAAATTTTGATGTGCCTCTATCACTATATATGCTGACTTTAGTTCATTTGAATAAATACCAAGAAGTACCAAATCTGAGTCATGTGTGGTTCCATTTCTTGTCTAAATTGTAGCCCCACAAACAATGCATGAGTATACCTCAAACGTTTCCCAAATCCTTGCCAGCAATTATTGTTATTTGTATTCTTGATTATTGCCATTCTAACTGGAATGAGATGAAATCTCAGTACAGTTTTGATTTGTATTTTGCTGATTGCTAGGGATGCTGAACATTTTTCATATATTCACATATGGCCATTTATGTTTTTTCTTTCAAGCAGTTTTCTGTTTAGTTCTTTTGTCCATTTATAATTAGGATTTGGGGGTTTTCTATTGTTTGTTTTGTTTAGTTTTCATGTTAAGTTTTGAGTTCTATATATATTCTGCTTATTAATCCCCTGTCAGAGAAGCAGCTGACAAACATCTTCCTCCTTCTGTGGACTCTCTTCATTCTTTTTTCCTTTGCTGTGCAGAATGTTTTTGATTTATGCCATACCACTTACTGATTCCTAGTTTTATTTCTTGAACTTTAGGGATCTTGTGAAGGAAGTCAGTGACTGGGCCAATATGTTGGAGTGTTGAGAATATGTCTTCTAGCAGTTGCAAAGTTTCTGGTCTAATTCCTTGATCCACTTTGATTTGACTTTTGTGCAGGGTGAAAGATAGGAATCTAGTTGCATTCTTCTCCATGTGGATATCCAGTTTTCCTAGCACTATTAAAAAGGGTATCCTTTCTCCAATGTATGATTTTGGAACCATTGTCAAGGATCATATGACTATCCATGTGGATTTGTCTCTGTGTCTGTTATTCTTTTCAGTTGGTCTTCATGTCTGTTTTTATGCCAATACTGCTGTTTTTGTTACTGTATCTCTACAGTGTGATGTGTCCTGCATTGCTGTAATTATTCAGGATGGCTTTGGCTATTCTGGGTCAATTGTTCTTCCAAATGAATTTTAGAACTGTTTGTTCTAGTTCTGTGAAGAATAAAATTGGTATTTTGATGGGGATGCATTAAATCTGTGGATCATATTTGGTAATATGGCCATTTTGACAATATTAATTCTGCCTACCCACGATCTCCAGGGAGATATTTCCATCTTCTAAGGTTTTTCTTAACTTCTTTCTTCAGTGTTCTATAATTTTTGTTGTAGAGGTTTTTTACTTCAATGGTTAGATTTATTCACAGGTATTCATGAGGCTACTCTGAGTATAATTATTTTCCTGATTTCTTTTTCAGAGATTCATTATTGGAGTACAGGAAAGTTATTGGCTTTTGTGTTTTGAGCATTGTATCCTGACACTTTATTCATAGATTTATTGATCATGTCTTGGAGTTTCTGTTAGAGGTTTTTTTTTTTCCCGTGTGTGTGTGTGTGTGTGTGTGTTTTCTAAGTATAGAATCATGTCATAAGCTAATAATAATTTGCATTCTTCTCCTATTTGTTTCACTTTAATTTTCTTCTATTATCTGATTGGTCTGGTTAGAGTTTTAAGAGCTATTTTGAATAGGACTGGTGAGCGTGAACATTCTTGACTTCTTCCAAATTTTACAGGAAATTATTTTAGCTTTTCTCTGTTCAATATGATGTTAGCTTGGGTTTATTGCATATAGCCTTTATGATGTTGAGGTAAGTTCCTACTATCCCTAGTTTTTTCAATGTTATTACCATGAATGGAAATGGGATTTTGTTGAATGCTTTTATGGCATCAGTTGAAATAATCATATGATTTGTATCCTTAATTTTGTTTATGTGGTGAATTACATTGATTGATTTGCTCTTGTTTAACCAATCTTACATCCTGGAATAAAACCAACTTGATCATGTTGTTCAATCTTCTTAATGTGTTTTTAAACACAGATTGCTAATATTTTATTAAGGATATTTGCATCTATGTTCATCAGGGATTTTGGTCTGTAGTTTTATTTTCTTGGTGAATCTTTACTTGGCTTTGATATCATGGTGATACTGGTTTCATAGAATTAATTTGGGAGTCTTCCCTCACTTCTTATTTCATTGACTAATTTGAGGAGTGTTAATATTAGCTCTTCTTTAAAAGTCTAGTAGAAGTTAGCTGGTCCTGGGCTCTTCTTTGTTGGGAGGCTTTTATTACTAATTTAATCTCAGTGATTGATGTTGGTTTGTTCAGTATTTCTATATTCTTAGCTCAATTTAGTTAAGTTGTATGTGTCTAGAAACTTGTCAATATTTTCTAGATTTTCTGATTTATTAGAATGTAAGTTTTTTTAAAAGTTCCTGATGATCCTCTGGATTTCACAAATTACCATGGAAATTTCTCCTTTTTCACCCTCAGTTTTGTTGATTTGAGTCTTCTTTTGGGATTTCCATTTTATTCTCAAGTATTGGAAATTTTTCTGATTCTTTCTCTGAAAATTTTTTTCATTCCTTTAATTTGTATTTTCATGTTTTTTTCTAAGCCAATAATTCAATGATTCTTTTCTTCTAAGCCAATGTTCCAATAATGGAACATCCATCAATTCAGTATGAAAAGTAATATCTGTAAGATCAAAACTGACATTGAATTATCTATGATATCCTGTGCTGAGCTATTTGATGTTGAGGATTTCTTATTGAGTCTTGCTGATTTGGATTTCATCAGGATTTGGAACCTGTAGAAGATACACACCATTCCTTGACTTTAACTCTTAAGTTTATTCCTGGGTGTGGAAGTTAGTGATTACAACAGCACACCTCTGATACAATTCTAGGAGATCCTCTCTGATCTTTAGTGCATTTAGGCACCTACTAGCTTTCTGATATGTCAGGGGAGAATCCCTACTAGTCTGTAACATAGCAGAGCCAGTTTACTCCTTATTGGGTGGGGGGATACAGTCTTATGTGCCCTCCTAAGGAAAAGTTCCATGTACACAGAACTGTCAAATCTGGTGTATCATTTACCACCACCATTTATATTTCAGAGTGTGTGGTGTGAGACATTCTAAGGTAGAGGCATAATGGTCTGGTTCCAATGCTGCTGAATGGCCCATAGGAGGTGCAGAGCTGCTGCCCCCTCTAGAATGTGCAAGTTGCAGATTGGTGTGCTTGTATCTAGGCACAGCGAATGGTGGCTGGTTTCCTCCATAAGGCTTTTTGTGATATGTGCTGTATTTCATACTCATGAAGTTTTCCACTGGCTGCTTAATTATCTTCAAGAAATTCCTTCTATGGATCCACATGTCTGAATGACAGGTGTGTCACCTGGCAGTTATGGGACTCAGCTGTGGACCCTCCAAGAGGTTTGGGGGCAGGAGCCACTTCCCTGATTACTGTGGTTCCTATACCAGCCACTGGTACTTGATAGTCAGCCTAGAGGCCCAAGTTTATGTATTTTATGGGCACTGAATCTGTTGGACATTTCTCTTGAGCGCAGGGGCACAAAGCTCAGGACTGTTATTGGCTACCATGGATTGCTAAGCATCATTTTTATTGCTTTGCAATATTCTAAGAATATACCTCAATTTATGGAATTTTTTGTTGTTGAAGACTTAGTTGATTTTCAGTTTGAGGCTATTATAAATAAGGTTGATATGACCCATTTTATGTTTTTAATGCAAACATAAACTCATTTCTGTTACATTTGTGTGTACACACATATGTATATGTACATATATGCAATTAGAGATATACATATATCTGAGTAGAATTTGAGGGATATAAGGTGTACAGATGTTTGGCTTTAAAAAAAATACTATAATGAGTTTTCTTAAGTAGTTGCACCAATTTTACTTCCATTTACAGTGTTTGAAAATTCCATATATTTACCAATGTTTAATATTAGAGTGCTTCTTAAATTATTGTCATTTTGAAGTATATATAGAACATCTCATTGTGGAATTAAATTGGATTGCATTTCTTTGATGTATAATAATTTTGATGGGATTTTGTATATGTATTGGCTATTAATGCCCTTGCTTTAAAAT